TCTTTCTTTCTTTCTTTCTTTCTTTCTTTCTTTCTTTCTTTCTTTCTTTCTTTCTTTCTTTCTTCTTTTTTTTTTAAATTCCCAGAAGGCATATGTACTTGCTGGAGAGAGAGAGAGAAAGAGAGAGAGAGAGAGAGAGAGAGAGATGAGAATGCATCCCCCTAAGGAGGATGGTCATGCCTGCAGTCCCTTCTCTTCCATCTCTCTTTCCTTTTGGGTATTTGGGCACGCATGCACATACATGCCCCGTGTGTTTTGAAACCTCCAGGTCCAGGACTAAAATCTTGAGGTTGGCCACATGGGACCAGCCACATTAACCTCCACACCACTGTCTGGCCCTGTCGATTTTAATTAAGTAATTAAGCTCTTTTCCTTCTCTTCCTTCCTCTTCCTCTCTCCACTACTCCTCACTTGTTTGTATTTTTATTTCACTCACATAGCCTTTCTCTTACAGGCATTTACTGAGTACTTACTTTGTGCCAGACACAGAGAAAGGGAGATAAAAGGTGGTCTTTCCCTGTGTGAGCAGTTCACAGTGTGATCAGTGCTTTCATAAGTTACCTCGTTTATTTTGCACAGCCACCCTCTAATGGTAGATATTACAGACGAGGAAAGATGAGCTGAGAGAGGTTGTAGCTGACTCAGACTTCCAAAACTAGGATTTGAATTTCAAGTCCTTAGACACTTTTCTTATCAACATCGCTGTCTGGTAATGTCAGACCTGCGTGACATGAACAAGCTACCAGGTCTGGGACTAGAACCACAGTCAGCCATGTGAGAGCCCATCACTTTAGCCACCATGCCACCTGCCAGCCCCCACGATCTCACTGATCTCTGCTTTTTGTCAGCATGGCTCTGCTTCGAAATAGCCTCAGAGCAAGAATGACTCTTCCTTCCTCAGCCCTATCTATCTGTATCCTCCTGTGAGTCAGCTCCTCATATTACACTATTGCCATCTTCCCCTTCTCCAGGCTCCCCTCTTCAGCTTTTCTTTTTATTGGAGAGGTTTTTGCTATAGGGCACATACACTCGCTAGAGAGACAGAAGAGACAGAAAGCGAGAAATCACCCCCCAGGGGGGATGGCCACGCCGCAATCCCTTCTCCTCCATTCTTCTCTTGGGATCTTGGACATGCACGCATACGTGCCCGGCGTGAGTTTAAGCCACAGGGTCCGGTACTCGAACTGCAGTCGACTACAAGGGAGTCCAGCGACATAGCCATTAGCCAACTGCTGGTCTCATCTCTTCTTCAGCTTTAAGCATTCATAGTCTTCTTCCCAATTTTAAATTAAAACAAATTTAAAAATCTTCCTATATCCTTCTTCTTTCCTTTAACATTCATCCTATTTTTTTTCCTCCTCTTGTTCCTCTACTTCTGGAACACATGATCACCCTTCAATTGCTCTTTTCCTTAATCTGTTAGAATCTGGCCTCAAATTCCATCCCTCTGTCAAAACTGCTGTCTGAAAGGACACCCATGATCTCTCCTTTACCTAATGCAGTGGTCTAATTAGTCATCATTCTCCTTTACTGCAGGAAACCTGTCTTTCTGACCAGTCTGACCTTGAGACCACCTTCTTATGTAGTCTGTATGACATTACACAAGTCTATTTTTCTGTCTACTACATGTGCTCTTCTCTATTTTATTCATTATTGCCTCTTTCTTTTATTAACCTAGTGTTTCCAGACACCATGGGCTCTGGCTTGGGACATGGCCTTCCCCTACTATGGCTTCTTTAGGGAACTGTAAAATCTTAGATTTTACAAAAATGCTTATAAGATCTGGATTTCAGATCCTGTTCTCTCACCCTCGCTAAACTGTGTTTCTAGCCAGCAGATCAGGGACTCAACCTGTGAAGTCAGCCATGTGGAACCACCTGCCTTACCCATCATGCCACTGCTGGCCCTAAAGTCTCTGTTACTATTTGGATGTCCTGCTGGCAACCTATAGTCTATTGTCCCAAATTCATAATTATTATTCCTATAGTCTCCTTTATTTGTCCTGTTCATCACATTTATCCCACTTTTCTAAATCTAAAGTCTTCTCCTTACTACCCCTCTGTACTCTGGTCAAGCCAGTTAACTACCTTATTAATGTTAAGAATTTTAGGATTTTAATTATAAAATTAAGGATAAAACTAGGATTAAAAGTAAGTAATAATAATAAAGGTCTGGTGAATAATCAATCTAGTGGATTAAATTGTTTTAAAATTTTGTTTTACTAGGACATTATTTAATTAATTTATTTTTGAGAGGTTTTCCTGCTGTAGGGTGCATGTGCTCGCCAGAAAGACAGAGAGACAGAAAGCGAGAAATCACCCCCCAGGGGGGATGGACATGGTGCAATCCCCTCTCCTCCATTCCCCTCCTGGGATCCTGAGCATGCACACACACGTGCCCAGCATGGGTTCAAGCCATGGGGTCCAGGACTCGAACCGTAGTTGACTATGTGGGAGTCCAGCGACATAGCCATTATGCTAACTGCTGGTCCCAGCACATTATTTTTTTAAAAAAAATTACTCATACTGATGCCTGTGTGTAATACTTTAATGCAGGTATTTTTTTTTTTTTTTTGGCTGCAAAGAAAAGCATAGTTGAATGGAAAGTACGTTGTGCCCTTTCCTGTATCTGAGCCCTCCCTTCCCCAGCTACCTGAAGACTTTGCAAGCCTTCCCTAAAATGCTTAGGCCTTCGTTTTTCACTGTTCAAACTGACTCATCCTTCAGGGTACAGCTCAAGGTCTTCTTTCAACTTGATCCTTTTCTATAAGTGCTTATTAAACATTGTTCTAGGTAAAAACATGAAGGAAGTCATAGTCCCCCTGCCCCACCCCCAGTAACCTAGCAATTTCCTTTAATCTCAAAATACTTCTATTTAATTTGTTGAGAAAATTGCCAGAAGGTGCATGTGCATGCTGGAAAGAGACAAAGTGGGAAACTAAGAAAGCACCCTCCCACTGGGAAGGGTCAGACTGCAATCCTTTCCCATTCAGCTCTCCCTCCTTTCGGGATTTTGGGCATGTACACACATCACCCATCATTTTTAAGCCCCCAGTGTAGGACCCAAACTGCTCAGCTGGCCATGTGGGATCCAGCTACCTTAACAACTATGCCTTTGGCTGCCCCTTTTAACTCTTATCTACTCTGTGTGTTTATCATTGTGCCTTCATTGTAAGTTCCTTGTTGTGGATTTTTTCTGCTGCTGTTTTTCTGTTGTTTGATGCTGCCTAATCAGCACCCTCATCAAAATTTTACTGCCCCATCCTTCTAACTGAATAATTTCACCCATATTGAACATCATTATATAGGTTGGGCATCTATGATCTGAAAATACAAAATCCAGAGTGCTCCAAACTCTATAACTTTTTGAGTGCTGACAAATTCCACACCTGCTCTATACCTGACAGGTCACAGTCAAAGCAAAATACTATATAAAGTTACCTCAGGCTATTGTGTATACATGATACATACATGAATTTTGTGTTCGGACTTGGGTCCTATCCTCAAGATATCTCATTATGCATATTCAAATATTCCAAAATCCAAAAAAAATCTGAAATTTGAAACATTTCTTTTTTTTTTTTAAAGAATTATTTAACTATTTATTTATTTATTTAATTTTTTTTCTGGAAGAGGTTTTTGCTATAGGGTGCGTGTGCTCACCAGACAGAGACAGAGAGACAGAAAGCGAGAAATCACACCCCAGGGGGCATGGCCACGCCGCAATCCCTTCTCCTCCGTTCTCCTCTCGGAATCTTGGGCACGCACGCACATGTGCTCAGTGTGAGTTTAAGCCACCAGGTCTGGGACTCGAACTGTGGTCGACTACGTGGGAGTCCAGCAACTTAGCCATTATGCTAACTGCTGGTCCCTGTTTATTTATTTTTACATTTGGCCAGAGAGGGACAGAGTGAGAGAGAGCAAGAGAGAAAGTGAGAAAGCAAGCTGTCAGGTCCAGGACTCGAACCGTGGTTGGCCATGTGGGAGTCCAGTGCCCTTAACCACCGCACCACCTGCTGGCCCCTGAAATTTGAAACATTTTTGATCCCAAGCATTTCGGATAAGGGATATTCAACCTGTGGTAGTGTTTAGGCTTTTGTCTAAATTTGTAATTATTTGAAAGTAGTTCGAAACTTTTTAAAGTTCATACAATAGACAGGAATTATTTTCAAAATTTTTGTTCCCATCAGGCCTTGATTTCATCTGACAGTGAATAGATTAGGCTTAGATAAAACTAAGTAGGTACAGAATAAGGGAAGAAATATTGGCTTTAACCATTACTTTAAAATGCTTTTTAGTAGATGAAATAACATTCCATTATATCACATTGCCATTAACAATAATCATGTCTATTAACTATATAAAGCAGTGCTTTTGGTAGAAAGGCTTTTTTAAAAGGAATTATTTACTTAATTCCATTTGTTATTATTGTTTTTTAATTTGACCAGAGAGAGAAAGGGAAAGTGAGAAAGCAAGCCGCCAGTTCTGAGACTCAAACCACTGTTGGCCCTGTGGAAATCCAGCACCTTTACCACCATGCCACCTGCCAGCCTGTGGTAGAAAAGTTTTAAGTATTTTTGTTTGCTACAGGGAAATCTAGTTTAAAAAAGTAGGCATCAGTATAGGCTTCCTTGGATAGCTTTGTTTCTTTCTGGTTTTTTTTTTTTTTTTTTTTTTGAAAGATTTTTGTTATACGATATATGCACTTTGCAGAAAGATAGAGACAGAGAGACAGAGAGACAGAAAGCCAGAAATCACCCCCCCCCAGGGGGGATGGCCATGCCACAATCCTTTCTCTTCCATTCTCCTCTCAGGATCTTAGGCAGACACGCACACGTGCCCAGCAAGAGTTCAAGCCACTAGTCCGGGACTCAAACCGCAGTCAGCTACATGGGAGTCCAGTGATATAGCCATTACGTCAACTGCTGGTTCCCTTGGATAGCTTTGTTTTTTAAATACCAATACTCCAAAGCATTCTCAGGAAGTCTTATAAATTATTCAAACTCTAAAGGAATAAAGTAATTATTAACTAAAATTTTAATGTATGCTATATCATAGCATATTAGTTTTAGACTACAGGAAACTCCCCAGCACGCTATAGCTGAAATTCTTATGTTTGTTTGTGCAGTTTGTAACACACTGGGGCCCCTTAGACAATCAAAATATAACATGTATATTATTAATCATTTCAAGTTACAGAGGTTTATCATTCTTATACCTTTGCCTTTTTTGACTTGCAGTTATCATATGTATAATTTATTGGATGTCAGGTTAGTGGTCAAGAATGTAGCTCCCAAATCGTACTGTGATTTTGGCTTGAGTCCTGATGTTTTTATTTACTATTCCTATGACCTCGGGTAAATCATTCAACTGCCTGGGGCCTGAGAGTTTTATTCTCAGAAGTGGAGAGCAGAATACTTCTCAAACCAATATTGTTATGAGGATTAAATTGGGTGATAGGTGATGTGTGTGAAAAACACTTGTAAACTGTAAAGTGCTTTATAGATATAAGGTATTTGTTATTTATAAAATTTTTAAAAATTAAATATTCTCTTAGTACTTTTGTATATTCCTAATATTTAAATGGATTAGCTTTGGTTTAGGCTTTGTTAGATGCTGAATTATAACGAATGATCTCTTATGTGTTTTATAAACGTGCTTGGAAACATGCATGTGACATGCTGGTTACTGTTTAACCGGGGGGTCCTCTGGAGGAGCAGTGTTTCAGTTTGTAGCATTTGCTGTTTTCTATGATATAATGACTCCCCACTTGCCAATTCCAAGTGACTAACATGCTGTCACCAATGCAGAGGTGGGATGAGTGCACATCAGCTCTCCGGAGTTTGTAAGAGCTGGCTCTTGCACACGTTGAACTAGGATATGGGCAGTTTTTAGGCGTATAGTCATACAGAAGGCATGATGAATCATGGAAACTCTTAGCTTATTTTAAATGTTAAAGACATTTTAAAATATTAAGGTAACTGTCCTTAACAGCTGGGACTCTATAGTCAGACCTTAATTCTAATTCCAATTCTATATTTATTAACTTTGTGAGCTTGGGCAAGCCAGAGTCTTTTTAAGCCTCAATTTCTTCATCAGTAAAGTGGCATAGTAAGAGTCTTCCTCAGAGGAAGGGTGCTAAAGATAAATGAGGTCATTCTTAGCTGATTCTTGATGCAGACTTCTGGTTAAAAGGGGAGGGAAAGGATTGCTTCAGAAGACTAATGATTATCATTGCTAACTTTGCATGGTTTTAATAGCATGTCAAACTGAGTTTTACATGAATTTACCTTTCAGCTGACATGGGTTTCGCCAGATTATTCAATTCTCCTCTAAAGCCACTAGCCGATTTGGATCCAGTAGTGGTGACATTTTGGTATCGGGCTCCAGAACTTTTGCTTGGTGCGAGGCATTATACAAAGGCTATTGGTGAGTTAGTCTAAAATGGTTTTCTGTCTTGGCATTGAACTATCGTAAATACCAAATGGTATAATAATAAAGCTACTTGGTAAAAAACCACTTTGTATCTCTTTTTAAAAGTCTTCTTGTCTTCTGTATATTCCTAGACTTTACATTCCAAGAGTTTGTTTTCTGAATTAATTAATCATTTTATTAGTGATAGAATGTATGCATGGAAAGAGAGAGGGAAAATGAGAAAGAAGCACCCTCCATGGGGCTGTGATTCCTTCCCTGCCAACCTGCCAGGATCCTGGGCATGCATGCATGTAACTGGTGTGTTCTGATGCAGACCAGGCTGGAGACGTGAACCACAGTCAGCATGTGGCCTCTAGCTCCACAGTCTAGCACACTGCTAACTGTGCCACAGAGGCTGGGCCATATTCTGGTAGATTTGGATTTTCAACTGTATATGAGAAGAAAGTGTTTTATTTCAGAGAATAGAGGTTTCTGATGCTGTTGAGTTGCTATGAAACAATAACATACAAATTTTATTTTGTTCTTACCTAGCTGTTGATCAAAAGAACTAGAGAAAGAGAGGTAGAATTCTTTTCCTCACAAAAACAAACAAACAAACAAACAAACAAAAATGTAAAACAGAGAAACAAGAGTAGTGCAGTGTTGGAGTGAACCCTTTCTATTTAGGGAAAGTTAGTCACATCCTTTCCTAAGCCAGAAACAGTGTGACTAATCTTTCTCTCTTGTCATTATAAACTGTCATTATCAGAATGGCAGTTTCTCTGTTAAGGTAGGAAATAGAATCTGGGTTGATTAGCTATGTTTAGCACCTTGCCATGTCACCTAGCGAAAGACCAGAGTAAGAAAACCTGTGATAAACATGCTCTCTGTAAGTAGGATTTAATATCTGCTATAGGACAGAGGCTATAGAGATTTTCCTACGTGGTCGCTGCAGTGTCCTCAGAGGGCCCAACTGAGAACTGAGGGAGTCAGTAGAAAGAGGCTTCCTCAGACCTAGAGATTTCTTTTCAAGAAATAAGAAGTAGGGGAGGATAAATAGTAGTTCTCTGTTTACTAGAAGTGCTAGTTGTATACAATACCTAAATTTCCCAAGTATATTTCTTTAAGTTTTCCTTTTACTGCATTTTCTGTTGACTGATGTTAGGCTAACATCAGTTTTGACTATCTTTAGTTGCTATTGTTGAAATCTATTTAATAAAGGCATTAAAAGTATAAAATTGTTGGGGAAGTCAGGTGGTATGGTAGTTAAGTGTGCTGAACTCCTACATGGCCGGCTGTGATTCAAGTCCGGGACCTGGCAGTTTGCTTTCTCCCCGCCACCCCCCACTCTGTCCCTCTCTGGTCAAATGAAAAATAAGTAAATGAATGAATGAATGAATGAATGAACAAAGTTAAATAAAATAATTCTTAAAAAATGTATAAATCGTTAAAAACAGGCAAGTCAACACATTCTTTCTCTGTTGAACAAATTAGTGAACAACCCAGTGGCACCCAAAGACCACCAAGAAAGTTCTCACACTGGCGAAGCTGGGGCTGACAATTAGCCTGTTCATGAGTAGAACACAAAGTTAAAATATAGCCATGTTCTCGTTCATCCAGTGGTCTGATTTCTGCAAAACTCAGGCACCCAGAACACATTTATGCTTGCCCAGGGACTGAGACGCTAGTATAGCACTGACTATTGTAAATATTTCATAAGAGAAGGCCTCTGAGTGGTCTCAGGATGGTGAGGAGAGACAGTATGTTTGGCAGATGGAGGAATGTGAGACTGACATGAGGTCAGAGGCTGCCCAGGCCTCATTGTCACAGCAGCGGAGGGGGCAGCTGTCTGTGATAGGTAAAGAAAGGACAACCCCAGAAAGCAGATGGGAGGGACGGAGGTCCCCAAGAATAAGGAGCTAAAACCAGAGCCAGATTTGATTTACAAGTCTAACAAATGACTTTTACTGTGTGGCTCTATTTTTGAGACAAGTAGAATTCTAAGTTTGCTTTTTCTGTTGTTTAGGTCTCTCTTTACCAGTTCCTGAGAACAGCCAAATCCCTTAGACAATGTCAGAAAGCACTAGAGGACAGGAAGAGACTAAGAGTAAGCCAGAGACAAAATCCCCAGAGGAGAATGGAGGAGCATGGTGTGGCCATCCCCTATGGGAATGCTTTCTCACTATCCCTCTCTCTGTCTGTCTGTCTGTCTGTCTGTCTGTCTCCGGTGAGCACTTGCACCCTATAGCAAATTAAAAAAAAAAAAAAAGAAAACATAATCCAGGGAAAGGAGGAATGGTAGTTGGAGTAGCATGTGGTGCCTTTGAGGAGGTTGGCAGTGGACAACCCAGGACATGCTGGAGAGAGTAGAGGAAGCAATCTCAGTACAAATCCATGTGCTTTGGGTTCTTGCCAACGACCAGCGCAGTGTATATCTAGAAGAGAGATTTCCGTTAAGAAATGACATATTCAGACAAATCCTTCTGTTAAGCCAAAAGCCTCTCCAAAGTCTGTCCCACTCTCAGAGGTGCCTATGCAAGTCCATGACAAGGCCCATTGTTAGCATCCACCGTCAGGTGACTCTGTTGTGTAAAACTCACACACTGAGAGCCCACGCATTGAGAAGCACAACTTTATGAATGTTTTTAGATTAATTTACCTACTATTGAAATGACAATAGATGTGCTTTTTTGGCAAGTGGATATTTGGGTATGAATTGAAAACCAACTGTATTTTTTTTTTTTGAGAGGTTTTTGCTATAGGGCACGTGCGCTCGCCAGACAGACAGAGAGAGAGACAGAGAGACAGAAAGCAAGAAATCACAACCCCCCCAGGGGGGATGGCCATGCCACAATCCCTTCTCTGGTCTCCTCTCAGGATTTTGGGCACACACGCACATGCGCCCGGTGTGAGTTTAAGCCACCGGGTCCGGGACACGAACTGCGGTTGACTACATGAGAGTCCAGTGACATAGCCATTATACTAACTGCTGGTCCCAACAACTGTATTTCTTATTTCCTTAGGGTAAAGAAAAGTGAAATTGAATTTTAACTAGCTTGCAATTTATTTTCTCAGTAAACGAGATTTACCACTTAAAGATAAAAACATCACTGATTTCTAATTTTAGCCAGGTTTCAATTAGTAATTCTGGATAGAAATTAGGAGAAAAATTAAGATAGAGGAAAAGAATAATTCCCAAATCAGTTATCATTGTGCTAGAAGTATATTCATAGCAAATATGAAAAGGGACTTCAAAAAGTTCATGGAAAATGGAATTAAAGCTCATATTTGTGCAGAAAAATTTTGAAGTTTATTTATTGTTTTTTCATAAGACACTTTTTCTGTGAACCTGCTGAAGATCCCCTTGTATATCAATACACATTCATTTACTCATTCTAACTCTTTTCCAGGCCTGGTCCATGTTAGAAATGAGTATTTCTATTTAGAGCACAGAAAAAGGAGAGCTTTGATATTTAATGTCAGGGGGGGCTCTGTGTGTGTGTGTGTGTGTGTGTGTGTGTATGCGCATGCGCGTGTGTGTGTGTACGTATGTGTGAGTGTACACTGTGTGCAAACCAAACAAGTCACTCATTGATAGAGGGAAGAGACCTGAGAAGTAAGTGTAGATGATTCAGGAACCAGATGACCATTTAAAATTACATTAAAATTACAGGCTAATGTGAGGCAGGAAACACTAGTATTTAATGCTACCTATTACTCTGAAGTTCCTTGTCTTAGCAGTCAGGAAATATAGATCTTTAAACTGAGGACAAACCAGGAATTGGCATGACCATCCCTGTGACTGCATAGCAGAAGCAGCAAGCAGGGACAGGGATGAGACCATCAGAGGTACACTTATTGGGGGCAAGAGTGACAAATAGTATGATGTCAGAGGGAGAAAATAATTAAAAAGTAGACCTGAATAGTATGTATTATTCTACTCTGTAGTGATGGATGTTCATGATGATGATGACCTTGCTACAGCACTAAGGAAGATTAAATTACTCTGTTTTATAGTCTGTTATGATGACAGGTAATGGTGTAATAAAAATTGGTTATCAACAGAATATTTTCCCATTATCCAGAAGCGTAACTTATGTGGAAGGAAACCATTTCTAAATGGGATCTGATAATTAAGACAATGTTATTAATAATTTGTTTTTTTCATTTGACAGTTTGTTTTATGTATTAATAATAGCCAATTGACACTTTTAGCTAATGGATATAATTAAACTTTAGTTTATCTATAGGTTGAGAGTCCCACATTCGATAAGACTATTAAACACTGTACTTCTCTGCACTGTACCATAGCCCTTGCATTAGTATCTTTTCTCTTTTTTAAATGCTTGCTAAATGGCGTTTATCTAAATGGGAAGGTAAAACTCCCAAACATACAGCCATCTGGTTTCTGAAAAAGGGTGCCAGTCACTCCATTGGGAAAAGGAAAACCTCTTTAGCAAATGGTGTTGGAAAAACTGGATATCCACCTGTAGAAAGATAAATTGAACCCCTCCCTCTCACCCTTAACAAAAATCAACTCAAAGTGGATCAAAGATATAAATGTAAGACCTCAAACTATAAAACTGCTGCTAGAAAACACTGGGGAAACTCTGGGAGACATTGGGGTAGCCAAAGACTTCTTAAGTAAGTCCCCCAGAGCACAATCAGTAATCCCCAAAATAGACAAATGGGATTATATCAGATTAAGAAGTTTCTGCATGGCAGAAAACACAGTAATTAGTGTGAATCAAAAATCCTCAGAATGGGAAAAGATTTTTGTAAACTATACATCAGATAAGGGACTGATAACCAGAATACACAAGGAGCTCAAGCAGCTGTCTGGAAAAGAGATTATCAACCTATTAAAAGATGGGAGAATGAGTTGAAAAAAACACTTTCTAAGGATGACATATGAATAGCAAAAAGGCATATGAAAAAATGCTTCACATCCCTCATTGTAAGGGAGATGCAGATCAAAACCACAATGAGATACCACCTAACCCCAGTTAGAATGACTAAGATTAAAAAAACAAAAAATGATAATTGCTGGCAGAGGTGTGGTGAAAGGGAAACTCTCTTACACTGCTGGTGGGAATGTAAATTGGTCCAGCCACTGTGAAGAACAATTTGGAGAATCTTCAAAGATACAAATAGAACTACCATATGATCTAGCAGTTGCACTCCTTGGTATCTACCCAAAGGACAGAAGGATCCTTAGTCAGAAAAGTGCTTGCACATCGATGTTTATTGTGGCATTATTCACAATTGCTAAGACATAGAATGAATCCAAATGCCCTTGAACAGATGAATGGCTTGAAAAACTGTGGCACATATACTCCATGGAATACTACTCAGTCATAAAAAACAACAAGACCCTGGCTTTTGACAGAAAGTGGAGGAATATGGAAGATTTACTGCGGAGTGAAGCAAGCCAGGCTGTGAAAGAGAGACATTTGTATGTCTCCACATAATATATACAGATTGTCTGCACTTTATGGCAGACAATGACTAAAGGATATAGAAACATAGTAAATGGTTGTGAATACCAGACACAGTGTGGGAAGAGGGAGGGTGAAGGAGTAGAGTCTGAGGAAGGACATTAAAGAGAAAAATAGAGAGGCAAGGCATTTATGGGACAAAGAAATGGGTTATTATCTTTTGAGGGATAATCTTATAGTATTGTCAACTGGACCCAAGTGAAATGTACACATGTTGGAATTTTCACTTCACCAGCTAGGTAACGTGATTGACCGTATAAAAGACATTGAAATAATAATAAAAAATAATAAAAAATAAATGGGAAAGTGAATATACATCTCACAGGTTAATTCTCTTACACATTTTGCAAAGCGTTGTGAATATATTATAGTCTCAGTGTGTAAAATCCAGTAGGATAATCTATAGCTGGTGATTTTAAATACTTAATTAAACTTCTAAAGATGCCTAACTTTATTCTGGGAGCTGGGGGTAAGCAAGGAGCAAAACCTAAGTGAATAGATGAGTACAGTGAATAATGACACTTTACTGGTGTCATACAAGCCCTAAATACTTCCATTATTGATCAGGTTTGAGACTTTAAAATTTTGTTGCAAAAACTGAAGCTGGTAGTTTTTCAGATGAGTTTTTTGAAATCCTTTTATGTGGTTTCTACTGTTTGTCTACACCCAAAACTTATAAATTCTGCTCTGTCATTATGCATTTGATAGCTTTAAAGAACTTATATTACCATATCTGATTTATATCACCATGACATTATTCAAGTCTATCTGATCTTAATATTATACCCTGTATTAGATTATCAGTTGAATGCTTCAGTGATTAAATTGTTAATAGGCTTTCATCTTAATCTAAAGAGTTCATTGCTTACTAAATTGAGTTTCTCAAGTTTATCTTCATCAGGAAATTTATAAGTAAATGTTTTTTTATTTGGTTTATAATCTTACATGATGGTATAGCCATTTCTTCATCTATCTAGATATATATTTTTAATTCACTTATACTAGTTTACAATGTACTTTGTCTATCATTTTACTAAGAAGTATTTTTATATGTAGGTTAGGTTTATGCCTAGGTATTATGACCAGGGAAATATAATAAATGTGTATAAAATCCTACTTTTCTTCTTTCATAGATATATGGGCAATAGGTTGCATATTTGCTGAGTTGTTGACTTCAGAACCTATTTTTCACTGTCGTCAGGAAGATATAAAAACAAGCAATCCTTTTCATCACGATCAACTAGATCGGATATTTAGTGTCATGGGATTTCCTGCAGGTAATTTGTTTTCCTTTTCAAAATCATATTTGTATTTCATAATCATTCATTTTCAAAAGCATTTTAAGTACATTTTATGTATATTTTTAAGCTGAAATAGATTTTAAGTAATATTAACATTTTTTATAATAATATTAATGTTTTTTGATAAGACAAAGACTGGGAAGATATTAGGAAGATGCCAGAATACCCTACACTTCAAAAAGACTTTAGAAGAACAACGTAAGTAATTATATATTGTCTTAGTTGTGCTACTATAGAAAAATTTTACTTAGACTGGATAATTTATCAACAATAGAACATTATTTTCTCAGGGTGGAGGCTGGGAAGTCCATGATCAAGGTGACAGCTAGTTTGGTGTCTGGCAAGGGCTGCTCTGTGTTTCTGGACTCAGTGGCTTAAAAAAACATGATGGGGGGACCAGCAGTTAGCATAATGGCTATGTCGCTGGACTCCCATTTAGCTGACTGCGGTTTGAGTCCTGGACCCGGTGGCTTAAACTCATGCCGGGCGCGTGTGCGTGCGTGCCCAAGATCCCGAGAGGAGAATGGAGGAGAAGGGATTAGGGCATGGCCATCCCCCCTGGGGGGTGATTTCTCGCTTTCTGTCTCTCTGTCTCTGTCTGTCTGGCGAGGGCACACACCCTATAGCAAAAACCTCTCCAAAAACAGAAAAACAAACAAACAAAACAAACATGATAGGTACATGAATGTGGGTGCCCAAAATCCCAAGAAGAGAATGGAGGAGAAGGGATTGCAGCATAGCCATCTTCCCTGGTGATTTCTCACTTTCCCTATCTTTCTGTCTCTGTCTCTCCCTGGTGAGCACACACGCCCTATAGCAAAAACTGAAGAAAAAAAAAAAAGAAACCTTACAAAAAGTAAATAGTCAAAAGGTAGTTGAATTATCTGTTCTGTTTTAGTATGCAAAAGGTCTCAGTTCAAAGCAACAACTGTAGTTTTATCTTTATTTGCTTAATGACTGATGACTTAAATACTGGACTAGAAAACCAGGAAAGATTGCAAAAGGAAGAACACATAACATGGGATCTGAGTAAAACAAACTGGTGGAGACATGTTTGTTGGGTAGGAACGAGAGGAGAGCAAAGGTGATATCATAAGAGGAGTTTGTTGAAATGCATACATCTAAAGGAAATGGTGGAAGAGGTTCTCTTGGGCCTCTTACCAAGAAGATTTCAGGATATGATACCTTAGAGACACAAAAGCAGACATCATAAAGAGAAGTAGAGGATGACAGTGATCCTTTCTTGCCCCTCTTTTAGTGCAGTCCTTGGCAGGGTCCTTGGTCTCTATCTAACTCTTAAAGATAACACTGATTTCAGGAAGAATGAGAAGATGCTTTCCTAGGCAGTTGCCATGATTTTGATAACTATAACTTTTCATCGGTTATCCTGGTTACTCCCAATTTATATATCCTTGTCAGATCTTTTTTCCAAGTTTCAAACCCATTTCTCAAATTGCTTTACGAAATCTCAAACTGAATGTTCCAGAAATGCTTTCAATGAAAAGGCCCAAACTGCACCCATCTATCTTCCTAAACCAATTCTCCCAGTGTTTCCTACCTTAGGAAATAGCTCTGTAATTCACCCGATTGCTCAAGCCATTGACCTGAGAGATATTCTTGATCTTTTCTTCTGTCTTGCTCACCTTCATTTTATCTCCAGCATCCAAACAATTAGCAAAATCTAGCCCATTCTTTCTTCTAAAGAGCCTCTGAATCTTTCTATTTCTCTCCAGCTACTTTGTCACTAGTATAGTCCATACCACCACCATTTTCTCCCTTGGAATCCTGCAGTTGCCTCCTACATGGTATTTCTACCAGCTTCATACTCTGTCCATAATGCAGGCATTGTCAGTTGCTCTTAATTTACCATTGCTCATTTCCTTAATATGGCTTACAAAGCCTTGGCTTTGCCATCACCTGGTTCATCTCCTACTACTCTCCACTTGGTATTCTCTAGCCTAAATATCATAGATTTTTAAAAGTACTTCAGACACCCAGAGCTTTCTTTGACCTCTGGATTTTTACACATGCTGTCCCCTCACTGTTCTCTTCAAAATAACTCTCAGCAGTTATTTTTACTTATCCTTTTGGTCTTAGCTCTCTGACCTTCCAGGTCTGAGTTAGGTGCCCCCATTTATCCCCTTATTGCCTCCTGAACTGCTACTCAGAGCACTGGATACCATGCACTACTGTTAGCTTTCGAATTTGGTCTTTCCTTCTTGATAGTATGGATCATCTTTACTTTATACATCGTTATATGTATCTCCAGTGTCTGGCAGATAGTACATGCTCATTAACTACTTGTCAAATGGGTGTTGAATGAAAGTAGTTCACCTAATTAAAGATACTCTAGTAATATAAAACATGGAGAGAATTAATGAAAGTATTTAACACTTAGTATTTAAAGACCAAATGAAAAATTTGACATAAAATGATAGCATTTATGATAACCCAACACAAAATGAGAAATTTAAAAAAGATGAATGGGACCAGCAGGTGGCATGGTGGTTAAGGCACTGGACACTCCCACATGGCCAACCACGGTTCAAGTCTTGGACCTGGTGGCTTGCTTTCTCACTTTCCCTCTCTTCCTCTCTCTGTCTCTCTCTGGTCAAATTAAAATAAATGAATAAATAAATAAAATTAAATAAATAATTCTTTAAAACAGAAAAAAAGAAAAAAACAAAGCAAAACAAAATATGAATGAAATTCAATTAGAAAAGTAACATCCAGAGAGGGGCCAGCAAGTGGCATGGAGGTTAGGGTGCTGGATCCCATGTGGTTAGCAGCGCCATTTGAGTCCCCAAACTAGGTGACTTGAAAATCACTTTGGGCATGTTTGTATACATATCCAAAATCCCAGGAGAACTGAGGAAAAGGGATTGTGGTGTGGCCATCCTCTTGGGAGGGGGTGTGATTTCTTACTTTTCCTCTCTTTCTGTCTCTCTCTGTCTCTGCTATCTCTGTCGAGCACACATGCCCTGTAGCAAAAACTAAAAAGCAAAACAAATCCAGAGAGAAGAGCCACATATATTTTAAGCAAATAATTCTACCCACATCAAAGCAGACTACTTATATATAGAATAGTGAAGGCTTATTAAGACTAGCTAAACATAATACAATACAGAAAAATCACTAAGATAAAACCTGATGAAAAAATTCTGAAGATATTATTTCAAATGGTATTTTTAAAAAAGGATAACAACTTAATTTTATTTACTTATTTCTTAAGGTTTTTGCCATAAGGTGTATGCATTCACTGGAGGGACAGAGGGAGGCAGAGGGAAAGTGAGAAATCACCCTCAGGGGGTTTGGCCGTGCTGCAATCCCTTCTTTATTTTCCTCCTGGAATTTGGGGCAAACACGAGCTTGGTGTGATCTTGAAACTGGTGGGTCCAGGATTCAATCCATGGTTGGTTAGCACCTTAGGACTCTAGCACCTTCACTGCCAAACCACCTATTGACTCCCAGCAACTTATTTTTATTATATCAGATTAAAAAACAACCAAAAAATTGCTCTTAAAATGAATTGGAGGGACCAGCAGATGATGTAATGGCTGCGTCACTGGATTACCATGTAGTAGACTGGGATTTGAATCCTGGGCCCGGTGGCTTAAACTCATGCCGAGTGTATGTACATGCATGCCCAAGATCCCAAGTGGAGAATGGAGGAGAAGGAATTGCAGCATGGCCATCCCCCCTTGGGGGTGATTTCTCGCTTTCTGTCTCTCTGTTTTTCTCTGTCTGCTTGGTGAGTGCACACACCCTATAGCATAAACCTCTCCAGAAAAAAAAAAAAAAAGAATTGGAAAGAACAATAGAAGTTTCTATAATCTTTGCAAAGCATTAACTCCATCTCACTAGAAAGCAAGGCAAAAATAGCATTAAAAAGAAATAATTTAGGAACCAGCAGTTAGTGTAATGGCTATGTCACTGGACTCCCATGTAGTCGACCGCGGTTCGAGTCCTGAACCTGGTGGCTTAAACTCACGCCGGGCACATGTGCATGCATGCCCAAGATCCCAAGAGGAGAATGGAGGAGGAGGTATTGTGGTGTGGCCATCCCCCCGGGGGGTGATTTCTCGCTTTCCGTCTCTGTCTGTCTGTCTAGCGAGCACATGCACCTTATAGCAAAACCTCTCAAAAAAAAAAAAAAAAGAAAGAAAGAATTTAAATTAAATATTGAATTTTTCAAATAAATGTGGTTGATAAAATGTTTCACAAAGTATATAAAGAGTTCGAATTACTTTGAAAACTGTTTATCTCCTAAATAATAGCCAATCTGGAAAAGGATAATTCAGAAAATTATAAACAATTCAGTTTATCTTTAATACTAGGAATGATTAAAAGAAACAAAGTGAGAATTGAGCAATAGAACATCTTACATTTATGACCTTTTATATTATAATAGAAACAAATAACCTAGCATTGGAGCATTGGAGTTAACCCAAGTAAACAGTTGATTCAGTGTAAAGACCAATGACGTGAAGAAAACTTCATTTCTACATAAATTTTAAAATTATTTCCCATTACCAAATCCAGCAATTGTGTTTTGCCAATATAAAATTTTCCAGTATTGGAGAAATTTAAAAATACACATATATGCAAGGATTTTTTTTTTTTAATTACAATATCTAGTGTTGGCAAAAATACAATGAAATGGGCCCTGCAACTTGTTTGCTACTGGTGAAAATGAGTGCTTCTCCAATTAATGTACCTGCAAATCATCTGGACACCTTGTTGAAAATGCAGATTCTGAGCCATAATGGAGTTGGGACCTGAAAAGCTACATTTCTTTCTTCTTCCTCTTTTTTTTTTTTTAAGTTTATTTATTTATTTACTTATTTCATTAGAGAGGGAGACAGGTAGACAAGCACCCCCAACAGGGCCTTTAGGCTGCAATACACCAGTCTCAGCCAGCAGCCAGCCCAGGTCATGGACATGCTCAGGGAGGGTCTGGGATGCAAAACCGTATCTTTTCCATGTGGGTCCATTTACATTATTGTGTCACCACCTAGCCCAGAATTTCCTTTCTCTTTTCCTTTCTTTTTCTTTCTTTCTTTTTCTTTTTCTTTTTCTTTTCTTTTTAGTTTGCTATAGGACCTGTGCACTTGCTGGAGAGAGTTTGGAAAGTGGGAAATCACCTTCCACACTGCAGTCCCCTTTCCATTCTATTCTTGCAGAATTGTCCTCTTGGTATGGGCATGCACATACACATGCCTCGAGTGTTTTTCAAGCAGCTGAGTCCAGGGCTCTAACTGTGCAGTTGGCCATGTGGGATCCAGCTGCCTTATCTATCACACCACTGGCATCACTGATGCAAGATGCCATTGCTGCTGATGAGAGCCATGTGTGTAGCAGAGTTCCTGAGCACATAAAAAAGGCTTTAAAATATAATTCTGGGAATTTATCTTGTAGATGCAATCAGAGCTGCCACAAATAGCTGAGTATTTATTTACTTTGTACCAGGATTGTGCTAAGCCCCTTACCTACATTGTCTCATATGGTGTTTTTTTTACTTTTTTTTTTTTGGAGAGGTTTTTGCTATAGGGCGTGTGCACTCACCAGACAGACAGAGAGAGACAGAGAGACAGAAAGCGAGAAATCACCCCCCAGGGGGGATGGCCATGCTGCAATCCCTTCTCCTCCATTCTCCTCTCAGGATCTTGGGCACGCACGCACATGCGCCCGGCATGAGTTTAAGCCACCGGGTCCGGGACTGGAACCACGATCGACTACATGGGAATCCAGCAACATAGCCATTACACTAACTGCTGGTCCCTCATATGGTTTTCATAGCAAATCAATAGGTATGATTATAATCTCCATTTTTCAGGTGAGAAACCTAAGGCTTTCATACAGGTTAACTAACTTGCCGAAGATCACACAACTTGTAACTGATGGAGTCAGGGTCCAATAGGGTTCTCTGATTCTCACCTGCTATGTAATGTTCTCTCTCTGCCACGTTACCAGAATTGCCTACACAGACCTGCTTTTTATAGCTACTATGAAACAACATCTGTATAAATAGGCAACATACAATCACTCAAAATAATGAGTTTAATGAGTAATCTCATTGCAAAGGAGTATGTACCTTTAATGGTAATTAAATGAAAAAAGTTATGAGTGTTTATAGTATGATTCCAGTTTTATAAAAACGAAGTAGAGCCAGCCCATGGTATGGTGGTTAAGGTGACTGGATCCCACATGGCTGACCACATGGTTTTAGTGCCAGATCTGGTGGCCTGAAAAACACACTGGGTGTGTGTGAACACATATCCAAATCCCAAAAGAAGAAAGAAATTGAGAAGGGATTATGGCATGACCATCCTTCATGGTGTGTGCTCTCCTCTTACACCCTCTCCTCCCCTCCCCTCACAAGCACATGTACCCCTGGCAAATTTTTTTTTAAAAAAGCAAAAAAAAAATCCTTCTGTGTTTGTATCTTACATGTATATGCATGGAAAAAATGCAAAAGAGAAATTATCAAAATTTTGACAATAGTTTTTTTGTTACTAAATAGCTTTATTATGAGTGATTTTAACTTTCTTTATACTTTTTAAAATTTATCTTTTTTCACCATGAATATATGTATATTAACTATCTTTAGCCTTTTTAAATTTGAAATACTTTATGAAAGTATTTACTTATTTCATTAGAGAGGGAGACAGGTAGACAAGCACCCCCAACAGGGCCTTTAGGCTGCAATACACCAGTCTCAGCCATCTGTGATGAAAATATGATATATGGTACACTTAGAAAAATAAAATAAATACTTCTCTTAATTACCTCTCCATCTGAGAAATGAAACATTACTGTTACTGGTGTGCCCTGTGTGTTTGCCTTCCTTGTTCATTTCCCTCCCAGAAGGGATTCTGAATTTATCACCCACCTTTTTCTAAAAATTATTGCTCAGTTAAATACATCCTTGAATTTTATATAATTGATACATTCTGTGTATTTTATTCTGCAACTTGCTTTTTTCCCATACTCAATCATGTATTCATGTTTGCTGTTGTCTAAGTTTATTCTGTGAATGTACAACAGTTTATTTACCCATTCTTCAGTTGATGGACATTTGGGTTGTTTACAGTGTTTACTAGTACAACAGGCTACTAAGAACATTTTTAGCCAAGTATCCTGATACTCATGTGCAAAAGCATCTCTTAGACTTGACTGTGTACCTAGAAAAGGAATTCCTGGGTCATAGGATATATGGATTTTCAGCTCTAATGCTAATGCATAATCATTTTCCAAAGTGATTATAACAATGTAAACTCTTAAAATGTAGTGACAATTCCTATTTCTTCATATGTTGGCCAATATTTGGTGATGTGTTCCTTTTTAATCAGAAAAAAAAGTTTTACACATATCTTATAGAAATATGAGTCTTTTTCTAATGGAGCTTTCCATTAGAAAAGAAAAATTGCAAGACCAGCAGACAGTGTAATAGATACATCATTGGAATCCCACAGTTGACCATGGTTTGAGTCCCGGACGCAGCGGCCTAAAATTCACGCCGGGAGTGTATGCGTGTGTGCCCAAGATCCCGAAAGGAGAATGGAGGAGAAGGGATTGTGGCATGGCCATTCCCCCTGGAGGAGTGGTTTCTCACTTTCTGTCTCTCTGTCTCTCTCTGTCCCTCTATGTGTCCTATATGAAAATTTCTCAAAACAAAACAAAACAAAACAAAAAAACCAACAACAAGAAAACCTGTGTAAGTGTCCCCAATGATGTGTGATTGGCCATATGCTTGCAGGTACGCCAACAGCAGCCTCATAAAGTACATGGAGAAACACAAGGTGAAGCCTGACAGCAAAGTGTTCCTCTTGGTAGGTGCTTTTCTCCCAGACTGAAATCTGATCCTCAGCATAACTGTCTCCTCATCCCACCTGGTTCTGGCTCTTCCTCCTCTTTAAGAAACAAAAGACTTTGGTGGATGCTGGGGTAATGTTGAGTACTTTTCTGTTGTAATGTCACCCTTAACTTCCAGGTTTAATTTTTAAATGATTTTATCGGGGAAAAAACACATTCAATTTTCCAAGGGCTTTTAATGCTAATGATCTGTCAATTTCACATAAATGTGTGTAATTTACTAATTGTGCACCGAGCTATATAAAATGTATTTTATGTTAATCGTTAGATATTAATAAGAAAAACAAAACTGACTTGTAAACAGCCTTGTCATATGCTGCCAATTTCTTATGTGTCACTGTAGCTTCAGAAACTTCTCACTATGGATCCCACCAAGAGAATTACCTCAGAGCAGGCTCTGCAGGATCCCTATTTTCAGGAGGACCCCCTGCCGACACTAGAGTATGTATCCCACCTTTTCTGTGTTCTTTGCTCCCAGTTGAGGATGTTGGATGGTAGCTGCCAGTGAGGGAATCACTCATTACTGAACTATTTTATTTTATTCATTAATATTACCTAGAGAAAAATGACCAGAGAGAAAGGCCCTTTTTTTTCGTAGAGGTTTTTTTTTGCCTTAGAGCACATGCACTTGTCGGAGAGAGAGACAGAGACACATGGTGAGAGAGAAAGTGAGAAATCGTCCCCCAGGGGGATGTCCACACTGCATTCCCTTTTCCTCCCAGGATCTTGGGCATGCATGCACACATACCTGGCATGATTTCTCGCTTTCTGTCTCCCTGTCTCTCTGTCTCTCCTGCGAGCACATGTACTCTATAGCAAAAATATCTCTTAAAAAAAAAAAAGATTGGAAATTGAAAGTGGCAGGGCGAACAAGTGGTATGGTGATTAAGGTGCTGGATTCCCACATGTCTGACCGTGGTTTAAGTCCCGGACCCAGTGACTTGAAAATCACACCAGGTATGTGTGTGTGTGTACCCAAAATCCCAAAAGGAGAATGGAGGAAAAGGGATTGCAGCATGGCCATACCTGCTGGGAAGTGATTATCACTTTCCCTGTCTGTCTGTCTCCAGCGAGTATCCTCTGGCATATCTTATTAAAAAAAAAAAAAAAGTGATAATTACTATAAAATTTCAGAACAACTCATTGTTTTTCTTATTCTTATTTTCTTATTTCTTATGTTTAATTCTTTTCATTGAATTAACTTGTGTTAGAACGCATCCAGCAAGTGTTAGCCACTGATGAAGAGTAAGAAATAAGAGGAAAAAGTACAATTTAAGTCAATAGTGGTATGATATTGTAGATTTTAAGTCATCACAAATTTTTTTTTTTGATGATTGTTAGTGTGTTTGCCGGCTGCCAGATTCCATACCCCAAACGTGAATTCCTTAATGAAGACGAACCTGAAGAGAAAGGTGACAAGGTATGAGCTGCGTGGAACACAGATTTCCAGAGAGTAAAGGGGGTATCATTTAGTAATTCTTACATATTTAACTACTTTTTGTTTAATCTTGGATTTATTTTACTTTCTTTGGAAGTTTGGGATATACCTTGGACCCTAAAATAAAAACTTACAGTTTAATGAACTTTCTGGTTAGAATTAGCCCATACCATTCCCTGACTCCTAATTCTGGCTTGTTTTGTGTGTTTGGTGTCATTACCATCATTTTATGTAGGCTGACCTTTGTGAACATTACTCTCTCGGTTCTTTTCTTTTTCCTTTTTTCCCTCTCTTTCTTTCATTTTTCTTTTTTAATGAGAGGGAAGGCATGTGGGGAGAGCCAGAGAGAGAGATTTTTGACAAGTTCTCACCAGGTCATAAAACTCCTGTGCAGACTCCCTCTCTGCCACTGTGGCAGCCTATAAAGGTTGGTCCGGGAGATGAACCTGGGCTTTCCACACAGCCCCAGCATCACAAATTGGTTTCCTGTCATTTATGTCTGTTCTTTTATCTTATCTGGATCTATCAGCCCCCCAGCTCCCTCCCCAACATTGCTCTACTTTTCCAAAATTATGATAAGAAAGGCTTCTTATAGCTTTCTTTTTTTTAAGATTCTTGCCATAGAATGAGTGTACTTGCTGGAGAGAGAGAGAGGGAAAGGAAGAAATGACCCTCAAGGCAGTGGCCACTCCACCATCCCTTTTTCTCCATTCTCCTCTTGGGGTTTTGGACATGCATGCACATGCACCCAGTATGATTTTTAAGCCTCCTGGTCTGGCACTCAAACTGCGGTTGGCCATATGGGAATCTAGTGCCTTAATCACCATGCCACCTGCTGGCCCCCTTGTAGCTGTGTAATGAATCCAAAACCTAGTGCCTATGGCCTACAGGGAGGGGTCTGCGACCAGTGTGAGGGATTATTGTGCCATCTGCATGAGCCTGAGAGGATGAGTCCTGTCCAGGACTCGGTGCATTGCCCTTTGAGAATGCTGTATTCCCTGGCCGCTCATTGTCTAGTCATTCCAGTCACTCTCCTGTATGTCCCACACAGGTTGTTCCCCAGGTCTGTCTGCAGCCTCCTGCACCCATCAAGTAATGAAAGAAACCTCCTATTAATTTAGATCCCTACCAAACTTTGCTTGTTTTCCTTAAAAGAATCAGCAGCAGCAGCAGAACCAGCATCAGCAGCCCACTGCTCCTCCACAACAAGCGGCAGCCCCACCACAGGCACCCCCCGCACAGCAGAACAGCACGCAGACGAATGGGACCACAGGAGGGGCCACAGCCGGGGTCGGGGGCACCGGAGCAGGGCTGCAGCACAGCCAGGACTCGGGCCTGAATCAGGTGCCTCCAAGCAAGAAGCCACGGCTTGGGCCTTCAGGCACTAACTCGGGCGGACCTGTTATGCCATCGGATTATCAGGTACTCCCCTGGATTTTGTACTTAATGTTCATATATTTTATAAAATGGGAACTAGATCCCTAATAAGATCCCTTTAGTGTTAAGTCATATTTAACATCTGACTGTACTAACTGTATAATTTGTTTCTAGGGCATTATAAGAGCATAAAGATTTGAGAGAGATTTTCAAAATTTCATGGAACTGCATATTATGTGAAAACCATGCATAGATTTCAAAAAATTTTTCTACCAAATTGAACTCATCCTTTAACTGCGTAATTTCATAAACTTTTTAAAAGTCCTGCTCATATTTTATAATTGCAAGATATATCCTGTTCTGACTTGTTTATCCTGACAATCTGAGGATGGAAGGTGGGGAGATGGGCACATTCGTCCTGTCAGAAGACAAAATCACAATAAGTTAGAGATATTAATTGGCTTTACTGGGGATTCTAGAATTCACAACACTTTATTCCAAAAAATAGAACATGTATTCTCATGAACATAGCAGAGGAAGTTGGTTTTCTTGAGAGAGAAGAGCTGAAGAAAGCAGAAACAGAACAAGAACCAGATTGGTCATTTCAAAATGACTTTTGCTTGTGAGGTAGGAACAGGGAGATAGAATGATAGGAAAATAGGATTAACTTCGTGTAGGATTAAAGGAGAGGAAACTTCACTCATGACATTGAAACTGGGCTCTTTGGGAAACTAGGCTTTTGTTGTTATTGTTCGTTTGTTTATTTTCTCTTCTGATTTTTCAGAAAGTCAAATAATAGCTTTGGCTTGGTGATATGGAGGACTCCATTTTGATTTTTAGTCTGGTGTGTTGGGACCTAGTACTTAACATTCCTTAAAGAAATTTTCATCATTTTATCTTTACTGTTGCCAGTAGCTTTGAGTTAGAAAAAGATACCCCGATGAGCAGTTGAACAGGAGAGGTATAGTGGCTTACTTTGGACCAAACCAATTACATTCTTCAGTAAGATTTACTCTTACTGGGAGGAGATAATAAGTAGCCATTTAGAGATAGAAGAGAAAGGAAGACTTCTCAGAATAACTGTTAATTCTCATTAAAAATAATTCTGAGGTTAAGCAATACTTTTTACTATTGCAATAAAAGAGAACAATGATCACATACTAATTCAAAGAATTAAAAGGAAGTAGTCTAAGGGTTGGTATTTGCAGAAATACCCATTATAATAATGGAAAGGCATCTCCAGAGGAAAAAATAAATATTTTCAAGGTAGAAACAGGTTAAGACAAGTCCTAGGAAGAAGAGAAAACTTAAATGAAAGATAAAATAAAAAAGATTTGGAGCCAAAGTCCCTGGGGAACTCAAGAAAGAGGAGCATTTAGAATAGACATAATAGAAAACAAAACCTCTGGCATGGGAACCATAAACTCACTGATAAGGAACGGAAATAAAGAGAACCATTAACAAGAAAGACCCAATGAGCAGCTGCCTAAACTGACTTTATGTTTTGAGTATCTCAAACAAACTAATTTGTTTTCAGACAACTACTTCTCTGCATGCAGAAGAGCTTGTAATACTTCCATTTGGTTCCAATTAAACTAATCAAGGCTTCAGTTTGATCTGCTAAAAAGAGCTTCCTATTTGGGTAATAGTCATGAACATATTTGAATTTTGTTATAAATTCAGTTTTCTCTGAAACTTTAGATTAGCCCTGTTACGTACGCGAGCCACCAATACTATAAATTCATCTTTTGTCTCTGATTGTATGATATTAACCTTATGGTAAAAGAAAAAAAAAATCTAGGGGAGCACTTGTTAAAGATGAGAGGACAGACTTTACTCAAGGGAGCCATGGTGGTTGGAATAGGGACCTTGCAAGGGGATCTGGTGGTGAGGAAGAGAGGCTAGACTGACTCAACTCCAGCAAGGACTAGTGGGGAGTTGTCACCAAGAAGTAGCGTGGGGGGCCCAAGAAGAAACAACAGAGATAGAGGGTTTCTAGCTAAACTAACTTGATAGGATTGTTGGTAGGCCAGGGTGATAAGATATCAAGAGTATCTTTGCTAAAATGATTTAGCAGGATTTTTGCTTTAAAGGTACTCAGCAAGGACAGAGAAGGATGTCCAGGGTCAAGCCTGGTTCAGTTTTTTCAGCAGAGCACTCTGAGGAACCTGATTGAAATTCTGGTCAAAGAAGAGAGTCTTATCTCTCCTTTGGACTCAATTATAGATAGATTACTGTATCCCTCCAATTAAATTCTTCAAAATGTTTTTTTTTTGTCCATATTATTCTATCTACTTAAAAGTAAACCTTACATCTTATCCATGAAATGGGTAGATATCACAGCTACTTAGTTGGAGACTAGCACAAGGAGAGTCTACCACTGCACGTACTCATCTGCACTTCTTACATAATCCACACTTTTTTCCTTTTATCTAGTATGGAAGTTCCATTGTGCTTAGTCTCATCTGCTAAGGTAAAAGTAATCTCAGCTAGCTTAAAATGATATGATATTAATCTTAGCATTTTCTTCTTTTTTCCTTATGTTTTCCATAAGGAAAAGTATCTCAGGAATAAAACATATTTATATTTAAATTTTAGCTTCATTATGAATACTTAAAAATGAAAAATTAATAGCCATCATTTATAACGTCTAAGAAAGGCTAATGTGATTTTTTTTTTTTTGTATGCGAATGAGTCTTCCTGAGTTATTTTCATCTCAGTTTATTCAAGGAAGGACCTAACTTTTCTGTTAAGGGGAATTTTTGTCATGTTTTTCTAAGGGTTCCATTAGTAGGGTTTCAAGGCTTTTGGGTTGCTTCATCAATGTATTATAAGCAAGTATGATTAGTACTTTGAAAAGAGGTGGTTTTTTTGTTTTTTTTTTTCCCCCTGCCTTAGAGATGTATCGTGGGGCTAGCCCATAGCCTGGTGATTAAGGTGACTGAATCCCATGTGACCGACTGAACAGTTTGAGCCCTGAACCCAGCAGCTTGAAAGCATGCCTGGTGCATGTGTGTATGCCCAAAATTCTGAAAGGAGGAAGAGTTGGAGGAGAAGAGGGACTATGGTGTGACCATTTCCCATAGGAAGTGCTCTCTCCCTTTCCCTCTTTCTCTGTCTCTTTGGTGAGCACATGTGTCCTCTTAAAAAACTTTAAAAATATATTATCAATGTAAAAAGTATACACTGTAGCACATTAGATTATATACTATATACTTCATATATATAATGTACATTACATAGGTATTTTAGTTTATTTGGTTCATGTAGGACAGACAGAACAATAAAGAGGAAGACAAAGACTGTCAACAGGGACTCACTCTGTGATCCAGCCCCCATCCTCCTAGCCATCATGATCACTGGCATGTGTGCCAGTGTATATAGGTTGGCTGGGAAGGGGACCCCTGCCTTGTACATGGCCTCCAATTGTGCCACCAAGTTTGGGCCTATATGTGTTATATAATATTATTGTGCTTTATTCTTAAACATTTAACTTATTTATCTATTTGTTGTGATTTTTCAAGTCACCAGGTCTGGGACTTGAACCGTTGTTGGCCATTAGGGAATCTAGAACCTTAACCACCACACCAACTGCTGGCGCCCACATTAATTATGTTTTAACAGAAAATTATAACTAATGACTTGTGAGGGGAAAGAACTTCTTTTAGGTAAACTGCAAAATAAAACACATAGTTAAAAATTGGAATTTAAAAAAGGCTTTTCTTTCAGTAACTAGTCAGTTATGTAACTTAGGAAGGAGCAAAGTTGAACTGTTTTTAAACCAAGACTAATTTTTTTTTTTTATTAATTAATTTTTTTTTTTTTTTTTTTTTTTTTTGTTTTTTTCCGCCATAGGGTATGTGGGTTAGCTGGAAAAAGACAGAGATAAAGAGGGGCAGTGAGAAATCACCCCCCATGGGGAGAGCCATGGTGCAATCCCTTCTCCTCCATTCTCTTCTGGGGATTTTTGGGCATGGCAGCAAATGCAGCCAGTGTGATTTTCAAGCCACCAGGTCTGAGGCTTAAACTGTGATTGGCCATGTGGGAGTCCAGTGCCTTAACCATCATGTTACCCGCTGGCCCCACCAAGACTGTCTTATTGCCCTGCTCTCTTGGCCAGGTACAAGCCCAGTTTGGCAGCCTTTGTGCACTGAGAAGGAACACTTTGTTGATTTGTCCTTCCTTATAACCCCAGTGCCACATTTGTAATTCCAAGTAATAACTTTATTATATATGTATTCTTTCCCTCTTTGCTCACAGGAAGAAACAACCTCTAAACACAAAGACACTTGTTCCAGCTATTCTTCTGTTTAATCAGGCACCGTGTTCTCTTCCTATAGATAAAGTTTCCTTTTACACATTTTTTTCATATTTACCTTAGGTATTATCAAGATGAATATCTTATTTGAAGTAATAAAAATACATTGACTTGAAACACATTTCCCTGTCTTCTTTTGAGGGCAGCCACAATGGAAAACTGCTTTATTCTACATACCTTCCCACAGTTAATAAAACCTGCTTACAGCAGCCACAGCTGCCTGACTGCCTTGGCTTGTCTTGTAGGTGGGATTGCTGATGCTTTTAACTATGAAAATTCTGCTCTTATGTAATGATTTCTTAATTGCAGCTTTATTATTTATATGAGAAGAGTAACAGCACATCAGTGTCCATCATAAATACCATTGATTTCAGTATGCCTTCTTAAGTATTCTTATTTGCAAATCTCATAGTCCTATGGGAATCAGTCAGTATAAAGAGCCTAGTGTCAGCCTAAGTTTCACTTCTGCTTTTTCTTTGCCAGCATAGCTTATCTCCCCAAGAAATCCAGTCAGACTTTGTGTCTTCCAGAGCACGTGGTGCCAGGCTGTGATTTCAAATGAATGAGCTGTATGCACAAGCCAAGTTCGCTGCCGGTGACTGGGCATGAGCCGGGGCCTTTCGATGCACATGCTTCTGTCTCGTCCTTGTGTGACCAACATCCCGAGCCCTTCTCTTCTTCCAACATTAATTCCTTTTCCATTTCCTCCTCCTAGCACTCCAGTTCTCGCCTGAATTACCAAAGCAGTGTTCAGGGATCCTCTCAGTCCCAGAGCACACTCAGCTACTCCTCCTCGTCTCAGCAGAGTGCACAGTACCACCCGTCTCACCAGGCTCACCGGTACTGACCAGCTGCCCTGTCTCGGCCCAGGCCAGCCCAGAGCACAGACTCCAGCAATATCATGTCTGCATTGAAAAGAACCAAAAAAAAAAAAAAAAGAAAGAAAAAAGAAAAGAAAAAGCAAACTATGATGCCATTTCCAAATCATATACTTGGGAGGAAAACTTTATGTAGTAAGTGTTTTGCAAGACTGACGTCTCTTCTTTATGGTCTTCAAGAGGATTCTTGTGAAGTTTCCCCAACACCCCTTCCCCGCATGTGTTTCATCGTGACTTCTCTGATAAAGCATCTGATTTAAGCCCAGCACTTCTGTAACCTTCAGCATTTTTTGGAAGGACTTCCTGGTGCACCTTTCTCAAGCTGTAGCAATCACTCTGATTTATCTTTTCAAAGCTCTTTGAATAGGATCTTAGTGTTTTAGAAACAGGATTCCAGTGGTATATAGTTTTATACTTCATGAACTAATTTAACAACACAGGTTAAAAAGAAATGCACCTTGTAAAGCACTACGTTGTTTTCACGGACTGTAACTGTTTTGCTCATAGAAGTCTTAAATAGGAACTGTTACTGTCCCAAAGTACTTCACTGTTGTGATTTTATTTATCTAGTTTCAGGGAAGGTCTGATAGCAAGACAAGTGACGGGACAGAGGGAACCTACAACCAAAAACAGCCTAGATCTTTGCAGCTACTATGCTTTATGCCGTGAAGAACTGAAGTATGTGGTCACTCTTAGGTATTCATTCACACGGAACTTAGTTCCCCAAATCATCTTGTTCTAAATAGCATTCAGGAATGAAGAATTACATTTTAACCTTCATGTGGCTACATCTACCTTAAAAAGGGTTTTAAGAGCTTTGATGAAATACAGTCCTGTGGTGAGCCACGCCAGGAAGCTGAAGAGAATATTAACTGCACTAGGACTTTTTTTTAAGGAGTAATGTTGATCAAAGGATGTGTTACCTCCCTTTGAAGGAAAAGCTTTTAGTGTATATTGTACATAAAGCTGGCTTCTCTAAAGAACTGTCGCTTTCTTCACGTCTGGGTTTGTGCGAGTAACTTTCTTACACAATCAAGGGTACTCAAATAGAAGCCTGCAAATTAATCTGCTTTTAAATGAAAGAGCAATGTTCTCCATTCATGTTTGCATTAGACATAGAGTGACTATTTTTAAAGCATGTTACAGATTTAGGTTTATTCATGTTTAAAGTGTGTATTATGTATACATAATTTTGCTGTTGTTACTGAGACTTAATTCTATCAAAAATCTTTTCATTGCACTGAATGCTTTTTTTTGCCCCTAGGAGAAAACTTAATAATTGTGCCTAAAAACTATGGGCAGATACTTTATGACTATACTAGAAAAGATGAATATTTGTATTTTCATCATCTATGAATTAGAGGCTGAGTTCTCTCTTAGCCACTTGAAGGAGCCCCTCACTCCCTAGAGTTCAAAAGGAAATGTAAAGACTTAGAGCTCCCATTGGAATGTAAGGGGCAAAACATTTGTGTTTTTCTGAATGCTACTAGCGACACCAGCCTTGTTTTACACGTTTTCTTGAGCTAAAAGAAAAAGCTGATTGTTGTATATGCATTTTTTAAAAAACCTATTCTTTGTGAACTTATCTACCTGGTTATGATACTCTGGGTCCATACACAACTAAAATACGATTTTAGACAGAAGCCAATATACATTTTGCACTATTGATGTGATACAGTAGCCAGCCAAGACCTTACTGATCTCAGCATAATAATGCTTATTAATAATAATAAAAACTGTATAGAGACACTCATGAAGACTTAAGATGAAACAGTTGACATGCTCCATTGGAAGGAATTTCTGATTGTCTTCTTGTTTTCCCCCTTCCATTTTTTAAAATGAGAAATTAACAGCCCTCTGCCTAATGTCGCTACCTATATACAGTCTGTCCTGTGCCCGAAAGCCTCAGTGTCTGGAGCTGTTCGTCTTCAGATACCCACTGTACCCTCCCCCATGTAACAGGGGCTTCTCTGGGTGGAAAACAAAGGACAGAGCATACTTGCTGTCCTTAAGGAGATTATGGTCGATTAGGGGAAGCTCTCTTAGGGTGTCTGTGCTGTGTGATTGACTGACAGGTGAAGCCATCTAATGATATGAAGGTCTTTAGTTTACTTCTGAGCCCACTCAGATAGTTCTTATTCCAGATTCTGTTCCATAGTAAACAGTGTTATGGAAGGGTTTCTGTATCTGTTCACCTTAGAGAAAGCCAGCGAATTAGGAATGTTCACAGCAGCCTTTCTGTAACAGAAGGGTGGCCCTTGTAGGCAGAACACACTCCATTCTGTAGTAGTGAGAAGCTCCATTCCTGCCCTCTGGGAGCTTACATTAAATAAAAGAAGACAAACTCAAATAGGAACATAACCAAATTACTGTGTCCCTTAATACAATACGCAACTTTGATACACAGTTCTTGGGATAAGTGCTTCTATAATCACAGAGTTACCCTGCTTCTCTTGTATAGAATGAATTTACTGGCAGAAAACTGACATACGTAGAGTAAGGGGATTTTGTCAGTTACTCCAAGGACACAGTGTTCTCCAGGACACAGCCAGAAATCCTGATTATTCACGTGGCTGCGCCTCTTGTCACTGTGCTGGGTCCTGGTCCTTTTCTTGCCTCAGGGTTAGTGATGCCTACTGGTGCCCATTGTACTTTGAGATAATTTTGGTTTGCAATTTCTTTTCTCTACAAGGGGAACAAAGCCTCTAATACCTATAAGGTCCGTAAACCCATGGAACCTTTAAGGAGACTTATGAAACTTCCTGAGGGCAAAATTACCTCTGTGGTCCCCAAATAACCACATTTAAAAAAATGTATTAGATATTGTTCTATCCCCCGAGAAGGAATGAATCAAAGTAAAGGCTTTTTGCTTGCCATATTACAGAGCAGTTTTAAAGTTAGCTTTCCCATGAAGTATGTGTTTGGAGAAAGGGATTCAAGAGTTTGAGGACAGATGAGCTCAAGGCAGGGTGGCTGGTGGTAGGGCTGACACTGTGAGGCTGAAACAATCCTTGTGATGAAGTAGATCACGCAGTGACATGTGAAAACCAAGGGCATGTATATTTTTATATTGTGTGTGGTTTTGAAACTTTAGCATTTAGAATTTTGGCCTTCTGCACTACTCTTTTGCTCTTACACACGTAACTTATGTATAAGAATGGGAAGGGATGACTTTTATCTATGTGTTTGTTCACTGCCTCATTCCTGGGGAAGCCAATACTGGTTGTTTTCTCAGCCTCTGAAATAATGCTGTTGTCTCTGTTAAAGGCATAAGCAAAGGGAAAAGGAGTTAAAGAAAAGACTTGCAGCTTGGTCAGTTTTTGAGTAAATTTATGTAGCAGGAACTATACAATGAAGGAAGAGTTATATGAACATTGCAAATCCTAAGCACTATGGTGATATCTTCCCAGGGAATGGAGAAAGGCAGTACACGGCAGTTAGCCTACTGGAGGCTTGAAGGATTCACGTGTAAGTCATATTTGATATAAAACATAGCAGGTTAGGTCCCCATAATCTTCAAGAATAGTCAAAACTGTCATAAAACAAAGCTTATTGTTTTAGAATTTTTTTAAAAAAATGTGTTGTACCTAAGGCCATACTTACTCTTCTATGCTATCACTACGAAGGAGTGATATGTATGTATTATATGAAAAAGAATCCTTAATGCACTGTTATCTCCTAAATATTTAGTAAATTAATACTATTTAATTTTTTTAAAGAATTTGTCTGTGTAGACACTAAAAGTATTACACAAAATCTGGACTGAAGATGTCCTTTTTAACAACAATTTAAAGTACTTTTTATATATGTTATGTAGTATATCCTTTCTATACTGCCTAGTTTGTATTTCCTATAATTCCAATTTGTGAAGTGTACCTGCCCTTGTCTCTTTTTTTCTGTCATTTTCTGCACGCACCCCTCTTTATATGGTTATAGAGATGACTGTAGCTTCCCGTGCTACACTAGGAGGTGTGTCCAGAGCCGGCTACGTGACCACAAAGCCTCCTCCGTGGAGTGTGGGACCAGCTGCCGCTTTGGAGCCTAGCGTTTCTGCTTTTGAGTTGTCCTGACATCCTTCTTGAAATGACTGTTAAAACTAAAATAAATTACATTGCATTTATTTTATATTCTTGGTTGAAATAAACTTTAATTGACTTTGTCTCTATGTAGATTTTTGTGTTTGTGCATGTTTGTTTTTCTTTTTGTTTGTGTGGACTTTTGACGTGTAGAAAGACTCTAATGATACGTTTTAGTGTTAACGTTTATCTGTGCTCATAGGAGCTTTTACGATGACTTTGTCCTACAGAGATCCACAGTCTGCCTGTGAGTTGTAATGTGTTACTTTGTTCAGGATGCTTATCTCACAAAACCACAGAAGTTAAGCAAGGCTTACAGATATCTTTGAAATAAAATCAGTGTTTTTTTTAAAAAATATTTTAGATTTTTGTCGGAGGGTGCCTACATTTAACAGGAGAGAGACAGAGAGGGAGGAAAAGTGAGAAATTACCCTTGTGGGGGGTGCCCATGCTGCAATCCTTTCTCTTCATTCTCCTCTCAGACTTTTGGGCATGCATACACATGTGCCCAGCTTATCTTTCAAGCCACCAGGTCTGGGAATCGAAACACAGAGTGGGGATGTGAGCATCTTAACCACTATGCCACCTGTTGACCCTAAAATTAGTTTTTATTTATTTTTTGGGGGAGAGACGTTTGTTTGTTTGTTTGCTGTAGGGCATGTGCACCTGCCAGAAAGAGAGAAAGTGAGAAATCACTCCCCAGAGGGGAAGGCGACAACACAATTCATTCTCCTCCATTTTCCTCTCGGGATCTTGGGCACGCACAAATATGTGCCCAGCGTGAATTTAAGCCACTGGGTCTGGGACTCAAATTGCAGTCAACTATGTAGGAGTCCAGTGACATAGCCATTATGCCAACTACTGGTCCCTAAAATTATTATTATTTTTTTTTAAGACTATAGGACGTGTGTGCTCACCAGACAGACAGAGAGAGACAGAGAGATAGAAAGTGAGAAATTACCCCCTAGGGGGGATGGCCACGCCACAATCCCTTCTCCTCCATTCTCCTCTCGGGATCTTGGGCACGCACGCACACACACCCGGCGTGAGTTTAAGCCACTGGGTCCAGGACTTGAACTGTGGTCGACTATGTGGGAGTCCAGCAACATAGCCATTACGCTAACTGCTGGTCCCCCTAAAATTATTTTTTTTAACATCTCTTGGAGAAATATCTGTTTTAAAAAATTATTTTAATTTAACTTTATTTTATTTATTTACTTTTTTCATTTGACCAGAGAGGGGGAGAGAGAGAGAGAGAGAAAGGGAAAGTGAAAAAGCAAGCCACCAGGTCTGGGACTCGAACTGTGTTCAGCCACGTGGGAGTCCAGCGCCCTTAACCACCATACCACCTGCTGACCCACTGGAGAAATATCTTATTTTTTAGAAAATGAAAATTAGAATGTTTTGGGAAGAAAAACAAGTCAGCATTTTTGGGTGGGGCTGGGTTGGGAGTTTCTCCTTTTGTATGATCATTCTGAGAATCTTACGTGATTACTCTAATAGTTAAAGGCCTCATGACATGCACCGAAGAATGTTTAAGTGACAGTGGTCAGGTTTTGTCCCATCTCCTGCCCCTACTCGGACCTCCTCTCTTCTGCATGGTCACTGCTACATCGACTTTCCTTTATATGGGGTTCTCAATCCTAACATTTCTAACCTTGACAAGCAACCATGGGTGTTTGAGCACTAAATTAATTCTGTGGTAGTAGGGAGAAACAAATGGGTTGTATTACATAAATAAAAAACTCTTACTTAAAGTGTAAAAAACCAAAGCCTTTTTAAAAAAGAATTATTTATTACATTTTATTTATCATTATTATTTTTTAATTTGCTACAGGGCATGTGCACCCACCAGAGAGATAGAAGAGAGGAGAGAGAGAGAGGGAAAGATTTTTTTTTAGAATGTGAGAAAGCAAGCTGCCAGGTCTGGGACTTGAAGCATGGTCAGCCATGTGGGAATCCAGTCTTTAACTACCATGCCTCCTACTGGTCCTCAAAACAAAGCCAAAGGTTCAACTTTTGTTAATGAAAATCCTTTTCTAAATTGTACATTTTTTTCTTGGGCCTTTGCATATCTCTTAGTGCCAGTTTCTGAATGTTAGTGAGCATGGTAGGTATTTGTAGTCATGCAAGTGAAAGCCTCAAAAGTGGCTTGGAACCAGGTGTTGGTGCAGTAATAATACAACTGGACCAAATGGAAAAGGTTCTGGGTCTACATCCCAGACCTCCCTGAGCACCCTGGGAACGCACATGTGCCAGTGATCCAGGCTGGCTGAGACGGGGTAGATTGAAGCATGAAGACCTGTTGGGGATGCCTTTCCCTCTGCCTCTGCCTCTTTCTCTCTGTCATGGAAGAAATAAAGGAAAGGAAAGGAAAGGAAAGGAAAGGAAAGGAAAGGAAAGGAAAGGAAGAAAGAAAGAGAGAAAAGAAAAGAAAAAGAAAGAAAGAAAGAAAGAAAGAAAGAAAGAAAGAAAGAAAGAAAGAAAGAAAGAAAGAAAGAAAGAAAAGAAAAGAAGGAAGGAACTTGGCTTAGCTGTAGTAGCTCACAGGTAGGTGTTAGAAGCCACATGGGAGGCCCAGGTTCAGTTCTTGGGCCAGCCTGAACTCACTGGTCACAGTTGTGTGCACCTGTAATCCTAGCTAACTGGGAGGCTGGGGCAGGATAATCATAATACAAGACTTGTCAAAATACCTACCTGCGTCTCTCCTTTTCCCTTTCTCCCCTTATTTTGTTAGAAAAAAAAAAAAGGAAAAAAAAGTGACTCATTGGTTGTGTTTTGGTAGCATCACCTTTCACCCACCTCACCAGTGCAAAAGAGGACACGGTCATTGAGCTATGCTTCCATACTGTTGACAGTTGTATTTATACCAATGAGAGTGACTATCTTTTCTGAACATGTAATTGCAGCATGAAATAAGCCACCAACCTAAGTCTGCATTCAACCGCATCCAAGGTTCCCAGAAGAGCTTAATTATGCCATTTCCACACTGTGGTTCTCATGAACTCCCATCTGTACTTGGACTCCTGAGTGAGCATATCCTATAGGGCATGGTCCAGAGATTTGCAAAACACCTTTGTACCATTTATGTGAGAAAGGTAGCCAGGAACAAAGTTAACTCCTAGATTTTGCCTTCTTCCCTGAATAGGCCAGGATTGGAAGGTCTGGTCTGCTACGGAGAGGAAAAGGAAGAGAGACAAAGATATGCTTCAGAGCAGCCCTTGGTGGGTGTGTGGGAGGATGCTTCTCAGATTCCGGACTGCTGGCGAGTGCCACTGGGGAAGGCCTGCTGGGGCTGGAGGCAATCTGGGCC